TCAAAAGGCAGCATCCCTTCCCTGAATATACTTGCTCTTCAGAATTAGGGAAATCCTTTCTGTCTCATTGCTCCATCAAGAGCTTGGATTCTGTTATTATGCATGAAGACCTATTAAACTTCTCTGACACTGTGTTGTGAAGATAGCCCCACTTAGGCTTGAGACTGAACCTGAATTCATTTCCAACCACACCACAATATATTTAAATACCACAAGTGCACGATTTTGTGTTTTGTTATTTGTTGGTTTGCATAGTGCTATTTATCAGAGAGAGCCCTTAGAGGGTTCATTATATCATTAGTAGTAAACAGTTCAAAGGAATATTCCCAGTCACTGCTGATTAAATTCTTACTGCTGTTACACTGCTCCTTCACATGCTCTTGGCTCATGACAATTAGCACCATCCTGAATACAGAGCAACAGTCAAGACAGACCATTCCCAACGATCAGCTGACTGTGGGCACCGAGTATGGAAAGATGGAAAGTTGGTGCTATGTGGATACAGGCTGTCCTGTGACATTTGGCAAAGTGACAGAATCATGGAATAGTTAAGGTTGGAAGAGGACTCTGGAGGTGAAGAAAGCAGCCTTGGGAGTGTCAGACCGACTCATCATACACCCCATGCCTTTGCTTCAAAACTCGTTTCTGCCACATTATTTTTTCTTTTCTCCAACTAGAGCACTGCTTTGGGCTTTCCCCAGTTTCTCTGTTGCAACAAGGTAGGGTACAGGACTGGAGTTCAGGGACTCCTACACAGGCAACTAAGCTGCCTCTTACTTTCCTGCTGGCTTCTGTAGCCCCAGCTTTGGTAGCATGCAAACAAAGTATGTGGTCATTAGCATGGTGCTTTTCAATCTGTCTTTGCCTTGCTTCAGGATCACACAGTGCACAACTCCCACTGGGAACACAGATGAGACCATTGTTAGCTGTTCTACAGTGATGAGTTGGTGCTCAGATGTTTGTTAAATCAGGGCTGTCACTGGGCATCACTCATTCCTGCAGTCATGGGATGTCTATAATAATCAAGGTGGAGTTGGTGGAGTTACTTTTTGCCACCCATACTGAAATGTGAGTAACAAGTCCAAGTTCATCTTTCTTACAGGACAATTCAAAAGCAAAATAAGATGAAAAGATGACAGAACAGGTCAGTTTTGTTGTCTGCATATTACCAATGCAAATTTTTTCATGGAAACTCAAAAAACCCCAAACCCTGACTGTATGATTCATAAATACTAAAGGCTGAGGGAAACCAGTAAAATGATTTTGTCTGACCTCCTGCCTCATAAAGACCACAGAATTTCATCCAGTGATTTCTGCCTGAAGCCCAATAATTTGTGGTTCTAACGGAACATCTCGACCGGCCTACTGTCCAGCTTTGATGTGAGGATGTCAAATGAGGTGCTAACCACTTCCTGTGCTGTCAAAAACTGGCTCTTGTACAGGTTGTCAGCAATTCTTCAGCACTGCATAACTTGCCGTAGCCTTCTTGAGGACACATAACTTCTCGTGTTTTTGCCCTTTCAATCAAAACTCTCAAATCATCATAATGAAGTAAAATAGGGATTCTGAAGCACAAAATACTGAATAAAGACATGCCAAGAGAAAGAAAACAGAGCATCTCAAAATAATCTTTTGTAGCTGTTAAATGGGTGAAATCAACTTTAAAATGCAATTCAAGGTCCACTTGTTTTCCCACTTGAGATAACATAGTGGAGAAGTTATTTTGGTTAGAAACAAAAATTTTCCAAACATACATTTATCTGTCTGTATGACTTGCTAGGAAAACACATTTATTTGGTTATAAAAGCAATTTTTTTCTACCACTTGTAAAGCTTGCTACAGTTTCACAACAACAAATATTTCCAAAGCAGAGACCTTGAAGAGCTGGAGCAAAATCCACTTCAGAACCATTTACCTAAGACAGGCTCAGTAAAAACACAGCTTGCTGTTAACTGCACCTTCCAACCTTTTGTTTCCATTTTTTTTTGTGGTTGGAAGCACTGATGGAGTAGTGAGGACTTTTCCATTTTTTTAAGGAAACAAATCCAAAATGGCAAGAAGAAGGCTGCAAGGCCAGACCCCTCTCAAGTGAAAAGAATTAAGTTGAATATCAACTTAATACAAGCTCTTCCTTCATTGTGCCTTGCAAGTGCAGCATTTGATGACAGCCCTAGTGATAAAAGTTCCTGCACTCACTGACCTTCAAGATGACTCCCACCCCTGTAACTCCAGCATGTGTTTGAGAGTGGGAAAGGATTTCAGGCACCACATCTCAACTCCTGCTCCTGCAAGTAGCCGTTCATCACTAAATAACCATATTCATGTTTAATAAAATCAAGCCAGAAGGTTCATTCCAACAGTGTCTCTTTCATTCCACTTTCAAAGAGACACTTTCTCACCTTTTGCATTTTACCCTCTACTTGCACTTGTGCTGTGGCCAAACATGGGCTGAAAAGCAAAAGCTTGGGGTGGTCGGTGTAGTGCCATTGATAACAGTGCCCAGGGCTTATGCAGGGTGTCTCCAGGGGGCTGAGATCCACACCACATGCTTATAGCCATACTCCTTGTTCAGTTCAGTTAGTGAGGTGATTGCTGCACAAGTGCAAGAGCACCTCTGGCTGTGGCCTTCTCAGCCACCCACAGGCTACTTCTACCCACGTGGCACATAGGAGTATGGCATCACACAGAGCTAAAAAAGCATGACATGAAGACTTATGAGTGAGACAATCATTTAACAGTCCAGGTCTACATAAAATATCTAGTGTTTCACCACACGTGAGGCTTCAGTTAAGGCAAACGCCTCAGTGAAGCTGTGGATGCCCCATCCTTGGAAGCATTCAAGGCCAGGTTAGATGGGGCCCTGGTGATGGGGCCTAATCTGGTGGTGGGTGGCAACCCTGCCCATAGCAGCTGGTTGAAGCTGGATGGATTTGAGGGTCTCTTTGAACTTGAATAATTCTGTGATTGTATGATTTTATCATTCAAGGTTTACGGCACAGACATTCTGCTTGTGGGAACTCATTAAATCCATTTAAATCCTGTTTGTATCTAAGTGTACAGGTGCAAGCCAAACTGATGCAGCCTGTCTGAAACCAGAACACCTGAAGCATTTCTGTACTCGGAGATCTGTGGAAATGAAGGCTGCTGTGGTGATGCAAAGATGCTGTATGTTCACATACCTGCACTGGCACTAAGTGGATTCAAACTGAACAGTGGCTTAGCTGAAAAGAAATTCCTTTTGTACGTACAAAAAGTCTGTGGCACCCCATCTGTCCAAGTTTTGGATAACCAACAGTTACAGCTCTGCTTTTAAAGCATCCATCTTGAAGTATATTAACAGGCAAAAGTGCTGCTTCAATCCCAATAACACAGCAGTGTAGACAACAGGGTGAAACTCTGCAGCCAGTGTAACTATAAGCCTCATAGTTTCCACTGATGATACCGTAATGATTTTGTAACTCACATTTATTTTACACTATTTCAGACGCCAGTTTGTGGCAAATATTTTGCACAAGGAAAAAAAACCCCAAACCCCATCCTTGACAGAAACAGTCCTGGCATGTTTGGAATGTGCAAAACCATAAAAGAGCCATTTCTGTTCACATTACTCCTCATGAAAACCCTTTTCAAAGATTCAGTTTCAGAACCCCTTCAGGATTGTGTTTCACTTTGAGATGCCACTTATCAGCCAAAGCCCAGGTGGGTTTGTGCATCTGACTGTTGTGCATTTTGCTTTGAACTCCTGGACTGTTACAGGCATGGCTACTGAACTGGCTGAGCCATTTTCCCCTCCTCCTTTGTCCCCAGGTTCTGGGTAGATAAAAGCCACACCAGGCTTGCTGCCCTACCAATGCAATTTGACTGTTAATTTTACACTGAAGAAAAACCAAACAACAAAACTCATCACCACACACAGCGATTATCGCCATTACCCACATGAATGCCAGAGCAACCACAAAACCAAACCCAGCTGCAGTATGTATCTCTGGACGTATACAGCAGTAGTTTCTAGTTTTGCAGTTCCCTGTTGCTCTGAAGTGTCCTTTTATCTCTTCATTGTTTCTACAGTTTTTTTCATCCCTGTGACTTGTACTGCTGCTGTGAGCGCAGCATGCAGACTCTTGTTCATTGCTGGCAAAAATGCAAAGCTAATGACAATGTCTGTGTTGAAAAATAGTGTTTTGTAGTTGAGAATTTGTTCTATCAAAGAGTGTTATTGTGCTCTTTGCATCTGCTGCAGTTTCCATGGAAACAAATAGGAGGCATTATTTTCAGAGCAAACTACGTAGCTAAACTCTTGCCAGCATCTTCTTGTTTTCCATCTCTTCCTTTTCCTGAGCTCCCTGAAGATTTCTGGGCTCATCTTCACAGACAGAACATCACCATGGACACATGGCAATGTATGGTGTGAGGTTCAGATCTAGCCCAAACACCAGAAAACAGTCCAGGGCAAACCTGAAACACAAGGATGTCACCTCCAGTTTCCAGCTATTGCTGATTTTTTTTTCGCATAGCTTGACATAGAGCTTTACAGAATGCAAAGAGACAACAAGAACTCTGGTGGGAAAAACATTAAACACAGTAAATAATAGAAATAAAATAGGTATCTTGCAAGGAACTGAAGAAAGAAAAGGTGAACAGCTAAGCAGGAATTCCCCGCTGGTCTGAGTTTATCTGTGCAATTGAGTTCAAGGTTTTTTTTTTTTAGTATGACCTTGATGTGCATACAAAGGATCTTTAACCACAAATATCCTGTTTTGGAAGACAAAAATAAAATAAAATAAAATAAAATAAAATAAAATAAAATAAAATAA